CAACAACCAGGACTCCTGTGCCCGTGAACACACACACGTGCACGCACACACACGCACACACACACGCACTGCGCCTCTCTGTGGAGGAGAAAATGGAACGTTCTTTGTTCAGACCACAAAGCGCACGCCCACCCCCACACCTGCAGCTCCCTCCCTCTCTCCCTCCCTCCCTCCCTCCCGGCCGCGTTCCTTCCGGGCTCCCAATCCCCGGCATCTTCCCGTCTCCCCCCCCCTCCCCCCCTCCCCGGCCAGGGCCTGTGGGCTTTGTTCTTCCTGAGTCTCCTGATGCCCCCCCCGCCCCCCCCAATTCCCCTCCTGGCTCCCCACACCCCACCCCTCACCCCCCCGGGACAGGACTGACTCTGAAAGCCAATGAAACCAGCCCTGGCTGGTGTCGCTCAGTGGTTAGGGCGTGGGGCGTGCACGGAAGGGTCCTGGGTTCGATTCCAGGTCAAGGGCACGGCCCTGGGTTTCGGGAATTTCCGTCCCAGGCCCCGTCTCGGTGCGGCGGGAGGCAGCCCACCGAGGTGTCTCTCCCGGCCGGCGAGGAAGGCAGCCTCGAACCCGCGAGGTCGGGGGTGATCGGGGAGCCGAGCCCGAGTGACCGAACGCCGGCCGCTGCCGCCAGGGAGGAACGGCCGCCTCCGGGCGGACACCCTTTCTGTCTTCGCTGGAATTCCGGGCGCCTGACGCGATACATCACAGCAGCCCCCCCTCCCCCCGCCTTCCGCTCTCTCTGGAAGGCGAGGGGCCGAGTATCCTCGGCGACGATTAACAAAAAGAAAGGAACATTAAGTAAGCGAGGGAGAGTGCAGGTCTCGCGGATTACTGAAGGCGGCGGCGTGAAGGAAACACGCGCTCGAACCCGTAACCGATGCTGTGCGTGTATCTGAGCCAACGGCCGACAGAGGCCGGAAGCGGGATCTCCAGGACGGGGGTCAGGCTCGGGGGATGTCTGCTTTTTTTTTTTTTTTTAATATATATTTTATTGATTTTTTTACAGAGGGGAAGGGAGAGGAAGAGAGAGTCAGAAACGTCCATGAGAGAGAATCATCCACCAGCTGCCTCCTGCACGCCCCCCACTGGGGATGTGCCTGCAACCAAGGTCCATTCCTTGACCGGAATCGAACCCGGGACCCGTCAGCCCGCAGGCCGACGCTCCAGCCACGGAGCCGCAGCGGGTCCGGCTGTGTGTGTGTTTGCCACCTGCTGTGGACACCGGTCTAAAGAGGAGCCGGCAGTGGCTGCAGGCGCTGCATTGGCGATGGGAGGAGGCGGGAGGAGGCTGAGCGAGGGGGCGGAGCCTCGGGGCTGGCCGGAGGGAGGTGAGAGGCAGGACCGTGATCAGGCAGCGGGCTCCGCGGGCGGGCGGGCCTGTGCGTGGAGGGTCGGGGGTCGCGGGGGGAATCACGTTCACGTTCAAAAGGTACGTTATCGTCGGTGGAAAAGGACCGCAGGCTCCGTGACGGCCAGGATGGGCCTTTGTCAGGGAGATACCGGCCGGGACCCTTCAGCTCTAGCCCCTGAGCCACACCGGCCAGGGCCAGCAAACTGCTTCCTAATGAAAAGCTTTTGCTCTCGGGCCTTCCCCTGTGGCGACGCCAGGTCTGAGTCTGCAGGGCCGCCAGCAGGCCTCCCCGGAGCCGTCCGGCCGGCCGCCTCTCTCCTCCTGACTCCCAGGTCCCTGCCTGGGGGGGCAGAGAGTGACAGTTTCCCTGCCCCCCTCACAGGTGTGTCCATGTCTGGCTACAATGTATCGGGCCTCCCTTTTCTGTAACCTCTGGTGCCTTGAGGATATGTACACGGAGGTGTACATTGTTGCAATCACATAGACCCCACTTCCTCGGACCGCCCTCTCCTCTCTCCACCCCCTCCCTCCCCCTCTCCATCCCCCCTCCTCCCCTCTCCATTCCCCTCCTCTCTCCGCCCCCCTCCCCCTCTCCATCCCCCCACCCTCCTCCCCTGTCCATCCCCCCTCCTCTCTCCCCCTCCTCCCCCCTCCACCCCCCTCCTCCCTCTCCACCCCCCTCCTCCCCTCTCCACCCCCCTCCTCCCCTCTCCATCCCCCTTCTCCCCCCTCCACCCCCCTCCTCCCCTCTCCATCCCCCTCCTCCCCCCTCCACCCCCTCCTCTTCTCCGGAGGAGTCCACTCCCTCTAGGCGGGAGGCGGGGCGTCTGCCAGAGGCAGACAATAGATATTTTAATTCCATTTATTCCTCGGAGGCCTAATGGGGCCACTTAGGAGGAGCAGGGAGAACCTGGTTCCATTGATCCCGGGGCCCTGGGGAGGACGTTACTGCGGCGGCCTGTTAAGTAGGATTTTTTTAAGCGAGTACAGGAGCCATTTAATCTCCCTGCTTGTTCGGTAACAGCCGATCGATACCGCGCTGTTGGCCGGGGACGCCCGCAGGCCTGGCTTCACGAGGGAGGTTACCTCGTAGGTTATATCGGGACGGCCACCGCTTTCTTAAAAATGTCACTTGGTAAAATGAATACGATTTTATTGATGTCGAGAGGAAGGGAGGGGGAGAGAGAGAGAAGCATCTGTGATGAGAGAGAATCGTGGGCCGGCTGCCTCCTGCACGCCCCCCACTGCGGATCCAGCCGGTAACCCGGGCCTGTGCCCTGACCGGGAATCGAACCCAGGACCCTTCCGTCCCCAAGCCAATGCTCTATTCACTGAGCCAAACCGGTTAGGGTTTTGTTTTTGTTTTTTAAAATTATTATTATTATTGATTTCAGAGAGGAAGGGAGAGGGAGAGAGAGAGAGAGAAACATCCATGGGGACAGAGAATCATGGACCGGCTGCCTCCTGCACGCCCCACACTGGGGATGGAGCCCGCAACCCGGGCCTGTGCCCCGACGGGGAATCGAACCCTGACCTCCTGCATCATAGGTGGACACCCAACCCCTGAGCCGCACCAGCCGGGCCATGGAGATTGCTTTAAACCTCTCAGCCATGTGCACCACCCCACAGCCTAGCGAGAGCCAGTGCCTGCAGAGGAAGCGTGGGGTGTGTGCCAGGCATTGGGGCCGGGTGGGGACTGCGGCCAAGGAGTGAGTGCCTGCCCTCAGGGCAGGGCTCCGCGCTGGGTACCGCCCGGCGATGGACTCACTGACTCCTCCTCCCATCTCGCAGGTGTGCACAGAGCCCGGAGCCAGCTTTCCGTGTGGAATCTGTTTGCTAAACATTGGCATCGAGACCTAATTATGATCTAAGTAATGGCAGGCGGAGGCAGGGAGACCCGCCTTGCTCCTGGGCCCGCGGTGGGCAGCGGCTGCTGTGGGCAGCCGGCGGGTTTTCGGAAACAGGAGCGGCAGAGAGAGAGAGAGAGACCACGGAGGGGGCGCTCTGCCACCATCGCCCGGGGGGGGGGGGTTGTCCCGGGATGGGGTTTGGGGGACGGGGTCCCTCTCGGAAGACCCTCCTTGCAACCACAGGGCCCTGTCGCTGGCGGAGGGAGGCCATCTTGGGACTGAATAAGCCGAATGAAATACACGGAGCGGCCGGACGCTGATGATCTCTGAACGGGTCATAACCTGGCCGCTCGGTGTGTGCGTACACATGAGAGGCCCGGCGCACGAATGCGTGCGTGGGTGGGGGCCGGCCAGCCTGGCCGGGGGGCGGGGACGTGGGCGGTCGGCCAGCCGGCCTGCTGGTCGCACTCCTGGTGGAGGGGACTGTTTGCATAGGAGCCTTTTGTGATAATATAGGCCAGATTGTTATGTGTCCTGGCCACTCGTGTGTGTGTGTGTGTGTGTGTGTGTGTGTGTGTGTTATTGATGTCAGAGAGGAAGGGAGAGGGAGAGAGAGAGATAGAAACATCCATGATGAGAGAGAGTCATGGGTCGGCTGCCTCTTGCACGCCCCACACTGGGGCTGGAGCCTGAAATCCGGGCCTGGGCCCCGATGGGGAATCGAACCCTGACCTCCTGGTCTCCCGGGTGGAGGCTGAGCCCCTGAGCCAGGCGGGCTGGGCGTGCTCATTTCTGTCACTGACCGTTGGGGCGACATGTCTTAAGCGCCCTCTGGCGTCGTAAATTCCCGCGCAGTGAGCCCGAGATCCTGGCTCCCACCCTCCATCCCAGGAAAGCAGGACCCAGGCCCGCGAGCTGCAGGCCCGCGAGCCATACACTCTCTCCCCTCAGCCCTGCCCAGTGGTTACCGCGAAGGGCGTCTTACAGGCGCAATGGAAGCCATCAAGGCTGGCCCAGTTGTCCCTGGTTTAGCGGGGGGCAGGGAGGGGGGAGAGCTCACCTGCCCAGGGGAGTGTCGGGCGGTTCTAGCCGATGGCGTCGCCGTCCAGAGAACAGTGGTGCGTTGCCCTGAGACTAAGGTGACCAGACGCCCCGCTTTTGGCGGGACAGTCCCGGGACTTTTTTAAAACGCCGCGGGACGCGGACAAATTGTTGGAAATCGGGACGGTCCCGCCAAAAGCGGGGCGTCTGGTCACCTTACCTAAGACAGACATGACAGCGTTGGACACCGCAGCGCTATGGCATGGCTACAGCATGGCGCTCCCGCAGCACGAGGCTACAGCATTGCGACTTGTAACAGCATTGCAACTCGTGACAACATCGCAACTTGTAACAACATCGCGACTTTGTAACAAACATGGCAACTTATAGCATTATTGCAACTTTGTAACAGCATTGCTACTTACAACAGGAAGTCACAAGGTTATTACAGGACTGCATTACCGTGCCTGCGGGATGGTGGCCCACAGCAGGGTTTTGGGTACAGCGTGGGGGGGGGGGGCGGTGGCCTGGGGCACAGCGTGGGGGGCGGTGGCCTGGGGGACAGCGTGGGGGGCGGTGGCCGGGGGCACAGCGTGGGGGGCGGTGGCCGGGGGGACAGGTGGGAGGCCGGGGGACAGGTGGGATGGCCTGGGGCACAGCGTGGGGGGCGGGGGCCGGGGGACAGGTGGGGGGCGGGGGCCGGGGGACAGGTGGGAGGCCGGGGCACAGGTGCCCGCTCTAACGCCCTGCGTTCCCCGCAGTGACGGGGGCCCGCGGCCTCGCGGACGGCGCCCCGCGCTCCTCGCCGCCCGCCTTCCTGCCCGTGAGCCTCCGCGTGGACGCCGCCGCCGCCTTCCTGCTGCGCCAGGCCCACCAGGACGAGATGCGCAACGCCAGCCTGCGGGCGCGCGCCGAGGCCTTCCTGGTGCTGCGCGCCCGGCGGCCGCCCACGCTCCGCGCGCGCTACGGGCCCTTCTCGGCGCGGCGGCCGGTGCCCCGCGACCTGCTGCAGCCCGGCCGCCCCGGGCCCCCGGGGCCCCCGCTGGGCTGGCGGCTGCGCGCCCACGTCCTGCGGGACCAGCTGGACCCGGGCCGGCCGGTGGCGCAGGTCCTGTTCCAGGTGCTGGGCCGGGACTGGGCGGAGCCGGAGCCCTCGGACCCGGAGCCGCTGCCCTGCCTGCGGGCCTTCGCCTTCCTGGAGACGCGCGAGGTGCGGGCCGGCTGCCGGCCGCGGGGCGCGCTGGCGCTGTGCGTGGCGGAGCTGCGGCTGCCGCCCGGCTGGTTCGGGGTCCCGGCCGCGGTGCCCGGGAGGCGGCGGCCGGCGGGCCCAGAGGGGGGCAGCCCCGTGGAACTGTACTACACGGTGCACGCGGCGGGCGCCGGGCCCGGGGGCCGCGGGGACTGCGTGCGGGCGGAGCCGGGGGCCCGGGCCGGCGGCGCGGGGCGCGTGGACGTGGACGAGGCGGACGAGGCGGGGCCGCCGCTGCGGAGGATCGGCCGCGTGTTCCTGCTGCCCGCGCCCCGCCGGCCGCCGCTGCGGGCGCTGCGCCTGGACGACCACGTGGTCGTGCACTACCCGCCGCGGAGCGCACGGCCCGGCGAGGTGCTCACCTTCCCCGTCTCCGTCTCCGCCAACTGCACGCAGGACCGGTTCACGCTGAGGTGAGTGAGCTGGGGAGGAGGGTTGGGGGGGCTGTGTGCTCCCAGGCTCCCCGTTTTCCCTGCAAATCAGGCCGGTTCCATCCGAGCGGAGCGGGGTGGCCCTTCGGCGGAGGCCTTCGTTCCATCCGCCGTCTAGGCCCCAGGGTCGGCAAACTCATCCGTCCACAGAGCCAGACACCAACAGGACCACGATGGACATTTCTTGGAGAGCCATATTTTAAAAACATAAACTTTTACTTAAAACACACACACACAGACACACAGACACACACACACACACACACACACATTTTATTGATTTTTTACAGAGAGAAAGGGAGAGGGATAGAGAGTCAAAAACATCGTTCAGCTGCCTCCTGCACACTCCCTCCCGGGGATCCAGCCCGCAACCTGGGCCTGTGCCCTGACCTGGAATGGAATTCGGGGACCCTGACGTTCGTGGGCCGGCGCTCTATCCACTGACCCACACCGGCCGGGGCAGGCCAGGTTTTCATACCCGACGTGTCCCTCTCTCCGGAGGGCCGTGCATTCCGCTGTAAAATGGAATGACCTCTCGCCAGACCCCCGCGGTGTCTCCATGAGGAAGGAACCCGCGGCTGAAACCCCTCCGCGGCCAAGGAAGGGGTGAGCGGGTCTCTCCGCCGCCCGCCCAGGAGCCCTCAGAGCTGCGTCCCACGGGCCCCGCGCCTCGCACGCCCGCCCGGAGCTGGCGAGGGCGCCGGGGGAGAAGCCGTCCGGCGAGGGGCATTCATTCCGGGACGCCTTCCTTCCCCGAGTTAATTGGGTTTAAATGAAGGCCATTTGGCGGCGGTAACACATCACACACCCGGGCGGGAGGGTGACGGAGACAGAGGGCGCCTCGGGAAGGGAGCGCTTCGGGGAATTGGCGGAGCGGCTGGCCGGCGGCGGTAGGGATGTCCTCGCCGGACATCCGGTCTCCCTCCGCAGGCCCTGGGCCCCACGCGAGACACTTGCTGCTCGCAGGTGTACGCTGGCCCGCCGGCGGGGCTCCGTGGCTGAGCATTGACCTAGGACCCAGAAGGTCAGGGTTCGATTCCCCGTCAGGGCACAGGCCCGGGTTGTGAGCTCGACCCCTCAGCGGGGGTGTGCAGGAGGCAGCCGGTCCATGATTTTCTCTCATCATTTGTTTCTCGCTCTCTCCCTCTCCCTTTCTCTCTGAAAAATAATAAAATAAAATAAAAACATTTAAAAAATAAAAATATGTAATTGCACGTAGAGGCTTCTGGGCACAGGAAAAGCTAAAATCGAATTGTGTGCGAGTCTTAGTTAACAGAGAAGGGCGGCAGAGCGATCGATAAGAGACTGTCTGACCCCAAAACAGGGTGCGTTGGGGGAAAATTCTGAGGAAGGCCCCCAGCGGACCTGCGAGCTAACAGCGGCAGATAAATGGATAAATAAGCGCACAGCCCGCCCCCGGCGCGGAAGGGGCTGCGTCGGAATGTTTTAAAGATGCGCCACGGAGGGGGCCGGCCTGCGCTGGTATTTAGACTCCGGCGGAACTTTTAGGAGAGCGACAGAACAGTTTAATTTTAAAATGTCAATAGTTACAGGGAGCCGAAAACGCAACCTTTGCCGCTTGGGAGGGCGGGCTTTAAATGTCATCCTTAAAATGCGCTCGGGGATGCGGACTTCCGGGAAATTACTCCGGAGCGTCCACCGCCGGAGAAATCCTCAGCGGAGACGGCGTGGTCCGGGCTGCCTCCTGCACAAGCCCGTGGTCCGAGGGGCCGCCCGGGGCCACGGCATTAGGTCCTGCGGGTGCGGGGCCCCAGGAGCCGGGAAGGGAGAGGGATAGAGAGTTAGAAACATCGATGAGAGAGAAACATCGACCAGCTGCCTCCTGCACCTCCCCCCCCCCCAACTCCGTAGGTGCCCTGGATGGGAATCGAACCCGGGACCTTTCAGTCCGCAGGCCGCGTTCTATCCACTGAGCCACGCTGTCCGGGCACAGCTGAACATCTTTAAACACGTGGTCATATCCCCATGACAAGTCCCTTCTGCCTGACGCTGAGGCCGGCCTTGCTGGGGCCCACACTCCGGACCCCGCTCCGATTTTAGCTCCTCCCGGGACATCGGAGCGGGCTCAGGCGGCGGCGCTCACTTCCGTCCGGAGCCTTCGCAGCCTCCGGTGCCTGCTCAACTGCCCTGGAATTATCGCCAAGGGCTCCATAAGCAGCTCCGTTCTTCTTCTGTAAATTATTATTATTTTTAATCCTCACCCGAGGTTATTTTTTCCCTTGATTTTTAGAGAAAGTGGAAGCGAGAAGAGAGAGACAGAAACACTGATGTGAGAGAAACACATCGATGGGCTGCCTCCTGCACAAGCCCTGACCAGGGCCGGGGCGGGGGAGGAGCCTGCAACCCGGGCATGTGCTCCGGACCGGAATCGAACCCAGGATCCTGCGGTCTGCAGGCCGGTGCTCTATCCACTGGGCAACACCGGCCAGGGCTGCACCTTAAACATGTCAAAAAATGACATGTTTAAGTCATTTCCCTTTTCTATCTGGTCTTCATGGTCTGGGGCCTTCCAGGTGTTCATGTTTAACAAAACAAACACAGAAAAAATAATTTAAAAAAAACACACACGAAACAAATTGGAGAGCAGTACGCTAAGTGAAACAAGCCGATCAATGAAAGAAAAACACCACCTGATCTCACTCACTTGTGGATAATAAAGAGCATTACAACCTGATGAACAAAAAGAGAGACACAGAGGCGGTAAAGGGTGGAACAGACTGTCGGATTACGGCGGGAAGGCTGGGGAGACGAGGGGGCGATGGGAGATCCACCGGAGGTGAGCGTGCATGTGAGCACACGCAACCACGCAAAACTCGGGGGTGAGGGCGTGTGTGGGGGCGGGGGAGGGGGGCAATGGGGAGAGATGTACACATGTAATACCTTAATTAAAAAATGGGGAAACATCACATTGAAAAAATGACAAAACAACACACACACACACACACACACACACACACAAGCCCTCCAGCAGGCGCTTTGCTGCACGTCTACGCGTGTCCGCGGCGCTTGCTCGGGTCACGCGCTGTCCTGGCGCCTCCGTGAAAAGTGGGGGAAGGCAGGGGACTGGGCAGGGGCACTGGGAGGCGACCCCGCGGTCGGTTGGGATGGCGGTTACATTGTATCCAATCGCAGTTACATTGTATCCAACGGGAGCTCCCAGCTGCGGGGCAACAATGTCCCCCGGTTCCCTTGGCCGCAGCCCCGCCCTGTCTCCCTCCGCAGGGCCAAGGCCAAGCCCGGCGTGCGCATCGCCGCGGTCCGAGCCAGCAGCCCGGCCGCCTGGGAGGTCCAGGCGAGCGCGGACCGGGCCGGCAAGGTGGCCCCCGCCGTCGTCGTCTGCCGCAGGAAGGCCCCCGGCCCGGCCCACGGGTGAGTCCCCCTCCCTGGGCTCCGGCCCCAGGTCCGCGCGGGTCCGCGGTGGGTGCCGCGGTCTTGGGGGCGCGCCCGGGGAAGATGGAGGGGCAGGTGGATGGAGCCTTCTCCCTCTGGGTCTCCCCGCCGGGACCCACCCGAGTTCGGGGCCGGGGTTCTGCGGTCCGTGTTCTCCCCGCGTGGGCTCCGTGTCCCTGAAAGTCCCCCTCGTGAGCGTGGGTCCGAGTGGCGCTGGGAAGAGAGACCTGGGAGGCAGGAGGCAAGCGGTGCCCCCCGCCCCACGCTGGGCTGGCGGCTCAGCAGAGACCGGGGCGTGGCCCCCATAACATGAGCGGGGTCTGGAGTGTGGGGCCGCCAAGGCCGGCCTGGCGTCAGGCAGAAGGGACTTGTCACGGGGATATGACCAAGTGTTTAAGGATGTTCAGATCTGCACGGCCGGCGTGGCTTAGGGGTTGAGCATTGACCTAGGAACCAGGAGGCCCCGGTTCGATTCCTGGTCGGGGCACAGGCCCGGGTTGTGGGCTGGATCCTCAGTGTGGGGCGTGCTGGAGGCAGCCGGTCCCTGATTCTCCCTCACCATGGATGTTTCTCTCTCCCTCTCCCTTCCTCTGTGAAATCAATACAAATATATGTTTTAAAAGAGATGCTCTCGCCCATTCCGGTTTGGCTCAGTGGATAGAGTGTCGGCTTGTGGACTGAAAGGTCCCAGGTTTGATTCCCGTCAAGGGCATGTACCTTGGTTGCCGGCACATCCCCAGTAGGAGGTGTGCAGGAGGCAGCTGATCAGTGACTCTCTCTCATTGATCTTTCTAACTCTCTATCCCTCTCTCTTCCTCTCTGTACAAAATCAATAAAACATATTTTAAAAAAATAATAATTAATAAAAAAAGATGCTCTCGTGGATTATAACGCGTAACGCTGCGCCGGAATGGTCCTGCCCGCGGAGGGAAGGCCCCGAAGGTTCGGGGAGCCTCCAGCTGCCTTCTCGCCTGTGTGCCGCAGTCTCCCTCCGCCGAGAGGCGACGGGAGGCGAGACCCCGTCTCCTGTCCCTCGGGCCCGGAGGCGGCCTCCGTGGACGCTGTGAGGACCCACGGGGACCGGCGAGCGGGCAGACACACGTGTGGAAACGCGGCCTCCGTCTGCGGGCGGCTTTCGGGGGATGAACACAAGGACTGAGTTCCGTGGGGACGGGCAGCCCCCAGGCCTCGCCTGCTGAGCTCGGGAAGACACTTTACCGCCCGCGTCCCAGCGGCGGCCCCCGGGCGCGGGAGAGCCGCGGCGGCTGCCGGGAGCCGGGCGGGCGGGCCGGGCGGCGGTTGGTGGAGTTACGATCTGTCAGGAGCGCTTTCCCTCAAGCGCGTTTTAATAACTCCCGCGTCAGGGCCGCGGCTCCAATGCGTTTCTCTCCTCCGAGGGGCACAAGCAAAGATGCAAACAATGGACCGTCTTCCCGGGAAGGAGGGGCTGCGGGGCCGCTGGTGCCCTGCGGGGCCCGGGCGGAGGCTGGGAAGGCTCGCTCCCCGTGGAGCTGTGTCCGTGGGCAGCTGGCCGATGGGTCTCACCCCTGCCTGCGCGTGACCCTCACACCCCTGCCTGCACGTGACCCTCACACCCCTGCCTGCACGTGACCCTCACACCCCCTGCCTGCACGTGACCCTCACACCCCTGCCTGCACGTGACCCTCACACCCCTGCCTGCACGTGACCCTCACACCCCTGCCTGCGCGTGACCCTCACACCCCTGCCTGCGCGTGACCCTGAGGTCACGGGTCTGGGGGCGTCTCCTCTGCTAAACGCTTCAACACAGACGCGGAGAGTGAGCGAGCGTGTTTGCATTTTTATGAGTTTATATTATAATACGCCAGAGGCCCGGTCCGGCCAGAGCTGCCTTCCCGCCTCCCCGCTGCCCAGAGGCCCGGAGTGGCCGGGGGTGAGGAGGGGGTGCAGGCGGCGAGGGGGCCAGGCCTGGCTCCCCCCGGAGCCCTCGTGTTGTGCCCGCTGCTCGCGGTCCCGCCTCCGGTAGAAACGGGACGGAGCCGGGAGGCCGCGGCAGCGCAGTGACGGGAATTATGAGCCAATTCCGCGGAAACCGCCCCTCGGGCGGCCTCGTTACCGCGTCCGACGGCCCTGCAGCCCGCAGCCCGGCGCCGGGGAGGGAGGGCAGGGGCTGCCTGGGTCTCCCCGCGCTGCTCCGCTTCTATCGCCTCATCTATCAGGTGCTTAGCTCCGTCTCCGGCGAGCCGCTTAGGATGGAATTATGTCGGTGTTTAGGGTGGAATGATGTCGGTGTTTAGGGTGGAATTATGGCGCGGCCGCCCTCGGCTCTCCCGGGCTGGGTGAGTTACTGCCCGCGGCTCCCCGGCGGGAGGCCTGGCTGCTGGGCGGCTCCCAGCGCGGCTTCCCCGCTGCAGCTGCGGACACGGCGGCGTGGACGCAGCCTCAGCCGCGCCTGCCCCGAGCGCCTGTGGGCGTGGCCGAGGCCGTGACGTCACCGAGGCGCAGGAGAGAGAAAGCCCGTCATTCCTCGCGGTTACCCAGCAGTCCGCGGGAGCCAGCAGCGGGTGGGACCCGGCATGGCTCTGAGCGGACCCGGCTGCTGTGCGTCTCACGTGGATTTCTGGACCAGCAACTTCGGTGACCGTGTGCGCGTGTGTGAGATCAGGCAGGCATGAGCTCACGTGTGTGTGTGTGTCACAAGAGAATGCATGGGCGCACACATATGCGTGGCCCTAGAGACCCCTGCAAACATGGAAACAATAGTGAAAGCCCTGCAGGGGAAAGAGGTCCGCATCTATGTGTCCGTCCCATAGCTTTATCTCTGTCGCCGTGTCCGCCTCCACATCAGAGCAGGTCTGTGTTCACATGTACACAGGGAATCACGACACACAAATATACACAGGTAACCACGACACACACATGTACACAGGTAACCACGATACATATGTACACAGGTAACCATGGCACACACATGTACACAGGTAACCACGACACACATGTACACAGGTAATCACGACACACGTGTGTACAAACACACACATGTACACAGGTAACCACGACACACACATACACACTGGTAACCATGACACACGCATGTATCGCTGTCCCGCCCTCAGCCCCCCGACCTGCCTCCCTTCTCCGTCCCTGCTCTGCAGCGAGCCCCGCAGGCCTCCCGGGCTCCTGGCCCCTGGGCCGGGCTGTGCGCGATCCTCTGTCTCTCAAGCGCCGGGAGCAGCGTGGGCGGAGAGCGGTGCTTCGCGGAACATGAAAAACAAGCAGAAAGCAACGGCAGGTCCCCGGGAGGCGGGGCTCACGGTCGCACTGGAGCCGCGGGCGGCTTCTGAGGTTCCCCGCGGCTTCGCTCGGGTTCTCTTCCCGCCAGCGCCCGCGTTACCAGCCGCACCGTGTGGCTGCCCCTTTGTTTCTGAAAGCGCCTCCGGCCGCTCCCGGCCGCCACGCCGCGCGGTGAGCCCGCGAGGTTTCCCCGCCACTTCCTCGTCCCCGAGCCCCGTGGCCAACCTCGTGGCCGGCCAGCCCGGCTCAGCTGCTCTTCCACGGGCCCTCGCGGAACTTGGACATCGTTGGAGAAATGAGCGACGGGGCCTGGGCCTCCTCCTAGCTCTGGCTGCTTTCCTTTTTTTTTATTTATTTTTTTATTTTTTTTTATTTTGAGTGATGACTCATAGCCCCCGACAGGCACCGGCGGACAGTATGCAGCTGGGTGAGTGGCAGGAAAAGAACTTTGTGGGTCAAGCATCACGCAAGCTAGTCCGCGACCCTCCGCGGCGGGGAGCGGTCTCCCGGGCGAGGGAGCAACCACTTTGTTACCAGCTCAGATACAAAGCTGCAAACCACCAGCTATGATACAAAGTTGCAAATCGCAAGCTCAGATACAACGTTGCAAATCGCAAGCTCAAATACAACGTTGCAAACCGCCAGCTCAGATACAACGTTGCAAGCCAGCACGTGGGAGCCTTTGAAAAGGCAACGGGCAGCCTGCCGACCGCCCGGAGTGAACACGCTGCTTGTCAAACCCCGGCGAGCCGGGTACCGGGTCCCCCGGCAGCCGCAGTCTCGGCGACCTTTCCGGCTCTCGGGTGACATTTCACAGCAAACAGAACTGTCGCGCAAAAATGCTAATCAGGGAGGAGGCGTTGGGTGGCCGAGGCGTGTGCCTGGTGCCGGAGGGCACCGCAAACTTCCCGCCTCCAGAGACGGGCTGGTCCGGGCGGCACACAGCGGGCAGTCCTGGCAGCAAAGTGCTCAGGACTTTGCTTTTAAAGACCAAGAACCGAGCCCGGCCGGCGTGGCTCTGTGGTTGAGCGTCAGCCTGTGAATCTGGAGGTCAGGGTTCGATTCCTGGTCAGGGCACAGGCCCCGGGTGCAGGCTCCATCCCCGGTGTGGGGCGTGCAGGAGGCAGCCGGTCCATGATTCTCTCTCACCATGGATGTTTCTCTCTCTCTCTCTTCCTCTCTGAAATCAATAAAAAAAAATACTTTTAGCCGAAACTGGTGTGGCTCAGTGGTAGAGCATTGGTCTGTGGACTGAAAGGTCCCGGGTTCGATTCCGGTCAAGGGCATGTACATTGGTTGCTGGCACATCCCCGGTGGGGGGTGTGTAGGGGGCAGCTGGTCAATGTTTTTCTCTCATCGATGTTTCTAGCTTTTCCCTTCCTTTCTGTAAAAGATCAATAAAATATATTTAATATATATGTATATGTATATGTAAGTGTGTGTGTGTGTGTATATATATATATATATATATATATGTATATTGATTTCACCGAGGAAGGAAGAGGTAGAGAGAGAGATAGCAACATCCATGATGAGAGAGAATCATGGACCGGCTGCCTCCTGCACACCTCCCACTGGGGATGGAGCCGGCAGCCCTGGCCTGTGCCCTTGGCCAGAATCGAACCTGGGACCCTTCCGTCCGCAGGCCGACACTCTACCCACTGAGCCACACCGGCCAGGGCATTGCTGCTTGCTTTCTGTGTTGG